TTTTTACACCATTTGAAGTCATCAAGGTGCACGGTATATTACAGTTTAACAACTCAGCAATGACTCACACTTGTTCTCTGTCTCTCCTTTCTTTTCTCTGACCAGGTATTTCCTCTGTGCGTTACACTCATTCAAACACTTATCTCCAGCTTTTGGTGAGCCAGACCCCTCTGAGCCTCTCCATGTAAACACTGATTTCATATTGTACTGAAAGCTCACATTGTCCCCTAATTTTAGGTCTTAATTTATAATGAAAGACATCTATTAAGCTCATTTTGTAATTTCAACAGCATAGCAGCAGAACACAGATTCTCCTCTATCTCATCTCCTTTTTTAACAGCATTTTTTTTTTCTGTGCATCAGTGACGTATAACCGGCTCTATCAGAGAAGTGAGTGGCAAAAGACTTCAGCTTTGAACTCTACTAAGGTCATCAGGGGTTGTCAAGCTCGTGTCAAACTACAAGAGGTTAAGGTCAGGAGCAGTGGGTGTTAGTCCTCACTGGTCGTAACTGGAATCTCAAAAAGAAAAAAGGAGGTACAACCTCTTTGATGTCGATGACTTTGAGTTGAAGTTTCTCTTGTTTGATTGATGCTTTGGCTCGCTTGGCTGGAAATTTGCAGCCTGGCACAGAGGAAACTAAATTTATTGTGAGGAGTCTGTGAGCCAATATTTAGCCTTTCTAAATAACCTTCTGGAAAGATCAAACTTTGAATTAAAACAAGACAAAGTCGTGCCAGTTTTAGTTTGCTTTCTTTGTGCTACTGTTGCTCTTTTGGAAGTTTACAGGGTGTGATTACGCATTCGGATTCTAAAAGATTTTTCCTCAGGGCACCTCACCTGTCAAATGGTGGAACTGGTTTGCTTTGATAAGCTTGTTTGCAATTCATATGATCTATAAGAGCTCATCATTTTATGTGAATAATTTGCTATTGTAAAATAACCTTTAATTGACTTCACATCTACAGGTAAAGTTGGCATGTCTAGCTCATTAAATTCACAAAACATCCCACTGGCTATGACATTTTATATCACACATAAAGCCATTATAATGCCAGACAGTCTCAGCTGAAACAAAAGAAAAACATCCGTTTGATTCTCTTTTACCTGCAACTTTATGATGAGACTGTCAATTTCATCTGTGATGTTTTTCATAGCCAGTGTTAACAGATCTCTATAATAGTCATGCATCACATGTTGTTAAGGTTGTGCCTATTGTACAATAAAAGCAGCCTTAAAATAATCTGCGTCTCTGTCTTCACACCTCAGATAAAGGGTATTATGTAAAGTCAGAAATCAGTGTCAATGATATATGACCATCTCCACATGCTGTTGAAAAATAAAGGCTGCATGTTTTGAGGCGAAGTAAAAGATGCTCCAAATCTACTCACAAAAGCTCATGCTTACACTTTTCTCTTCCTATTACTACTTTTTACAACCCATCATTTTGCATTTGTACGTTAGAGACTCAGTTCCACACCTATTCCCAAGAAGCAAGGTTTCAGCTTCTTGCTCAAGGACAAGATACTATGCTACCACTGACTAACACAGAAAGACAAAGCAGGATCAAACCTGTTTTGGATGTGGGACAGTGTATAAGTCTGCCATCCTCCAAGGCTTCAATTATTAGGCAGCATGTGGCCTCGGTAGAGGTAGAGTGGACAGAGTAAAGACAACATACATGAGGCCAACCGTACTGACTATGTCCACTCAATAACCACCACCAGTTCACCAGTTCTACATCTATGTCTCTGTCTCACATGACGGCTACTGCAGGGTGGCTGTTGTTGAGTTCGGCTGACGCTCTCCACATTTGTGTTTTGTCTGCATAATCAAGGAAACCAGAAGTAAACTGATGGAGAGATACAGGCCCAAATTACACAGGAGGAAACAGGGAACAATGAGCAATTTACGGCCGCTTCTCATCTCTGTTCCACCACAGTGCTGCTGCAAATCGTCAAGGCTTATCACTGTCATTTACATCTCTTCTCTCCCACAGCCCCAGGCAGAAGCCTCTGCAGGAACATGTTATTATATCATTATTATTATAAGTGTTTAAATGGTTAATTACTACAGTAACATACAATTAAAATTTTAATCGATAGTTGACTCTGAAATACTTAATTTGGCCCTTTAGCTTATAATATATAACTATAACAAGAATGATGATGATGATTATTGATTATGTCATAGGGTGTCTTGAGTACAACATAGTGATTACTACAAGAGAAAAATAGTGTAAATATCAGGGTACCTACATTTAAAAAAAAGGAACTGTCCACTTCTCAGCCGGAAAAATACTTTAAAATAAAGATGAAGCTTCTTGACAGATCGGACACTACAGTAACTGGTAGAGCACAGTGAGTACGAGGCCATCATGATAACAAAACAAAGTTAGCCCAAATTGGCAACCTCCCCCGATCTGTCAAACAGGGACTGACTGATCTGTGAATGTTTTCAGTCCTGAGAGTTGGAGAAATTGCCGGAGATTCCTTGAAGAAACAATAAAATAGGGGCGCGATACAGCTAAATAGAGAAGTGGTGACTCAAGCAACAGGCTGACACAAAGTGTAAACATGCCATAACAAGGTAACGCCACCAAAATGCTACTTTCAACTTTTACATCTTCATCAATAAGTGTTCAGATTAATATTTCCAAAATATTACACCATCATTATGATCATTAATATACTGTGCTGTAATTCAGAGTTTGAATAAAGTGGAAAGTTACCCCAGACATCTGTATGTGTAAGTGTAATCCCCAGGGCTGATATTAAAGCAACCGTAATACATAAACGAAGCATCATATTGGGAATTCCCACTGTGGCCACCTTAACAAATACACATTCCTCTCTTTGGTTTGCACTGAGAGAGGGTAAAAGGGCAAAGGCTCCCTTTGAACTGTAACTACAGGAGATGGAGTCCAGCATACAAGATGGCTAATTGGACACCAAGAGCACAGAATATATGTGCATGCAATTTTACTGTTAGACTCATTACAAGTACGAACCAGCCGGTTTTGTTTCTACCACTTTGTAGTCTATGTAAGTGAATCAGACAGGCACATGTCCACTACCTGCAATCAGCATACTGCCACACCCCCTTTTCTCTGTATAAGGACATACATTTGCTAAGAGGTGTATCATGGAGAAAGTGGTGAAATTGTCAGTACAAACAATAAAAACCAAAACTGTGTTATTTCAATATGGATATTCTCATATACTCCATTGTAAGCTAGGACAGGAACACTCAGTTTTTACAGGTAAATATTTTAATTATGGCAATAATTGATGAGTGCATACATTTGTAACTTTTAAAAAACTGGCTATTGAAGCCTTTGTAATGGATGTGGTTTTAATATGCTGTGTATTTAGTTAAAAGGTGTGAATAACATTTTCAGTGCTGTTGTCTCTGCTGTAGACAAGAGCACTGGCAAGGAGAACAAGATCACCATCACCAATGACAAGGGTCGTCTCAGCAAGGAGGACATTGAACGCATGGTCCAGGAAGCTGAGAAGTACAAGGCTGAAGACTATGTCCAGCGTGACAAGGTGTCTGCTAAGAACGTCCTGGAGTCGTACGCTTTCAACATGAAGTCGACTGCGGAGGATGAAAAGTTTGCTGGCAAGATCACTGAAGACGCCACTAATTTCTAGTGTAAATATGTGTTAAAAGTACAAACAAATTTAGGTACGAAATTAGTGATGAATCCCGGATTTGTTCGTAAAACATCTGTACGCAGAGTTTAAGCACAGCTTGTTTGTTAATGAGACCCTGATATGAAACAATGTTTTGACACTTTTCCACCCTGTGTAACCCTCACCAATATCAGCCTTCTTCTTTAGTGTATGAAAACTAAAAGAAAATACAGTAACAATAGTGACCAGTGTAGCAGCCTCACACCCTGTCTGTACTCCATTAATAAGATTGTTCGAATAATTCTTTTGGGAATAAAAAAAATCTGCTGCCCTGTGGTGTAACAAAATATTGTTTGAAATGGACCCTCTCACAGTAGTAATTGTGTGTTTGGGCAGACCACAACCACAATTGTGATTAGATCTATTTCCTATTTGAAACACATTTTATCAGAATTGTTGCAATAAATATACAGCGTCGCAGGAAACGTCCGATTTTGATCAAGCTACGTTCAAAGAACAGACTGAGTGTTATTATTTTTGCAAGACTTGAACTGCAGAGTAACCATTATTGCCGATGCAGCTTAGGCAAAACCATTATAGACACAGACACACACATGCACACACGCACACACAGTCTCTGCCAGCAGAAATAAACAGTGATGTAATAATGACAGGCTAATGTAGACCTAGCCAACAAAATCAGGTTGTCGTTATCATTGGCCCGGTAGCACCTGACCCACCCATTCTCCACCTGATTTATTGTGTAATGTGTTTTCTTGTGTAAATCAAATTAAAGACATTGTAATATTTACACTGATAGCAGAGGGAAATGATGTCTCTAACTTGTTTCCTTCACAGATTTGTAGATACATATAGAACAGCAGAGTTAGATACAACTTAACTTAACTTTAGATGTAAGCACCTAGACTTGATATGTGGTAATGTAATGGTAATTATAACATGTTATTTTTGCACAAACTACCTACTCAACCGAACTATAGAAGGAGCACTTCACTTATTTAGTTTCATAAAGTTATGAAAGATTTCTTTGCTTCAGCAAAAGAAGCAGCAAAGACCTGACCTTTAGTCTAGAAGACCTTACATACTTTTGTTAGATCCTCCCTGCCTACATGCACATGTTTTTAAACTCCATGTCTATGGTTTGTAACGCAGGCTCTCCGCAGAAAAATGTGAAAATATGAGTGGGTAAACTGAACAAAAATCTTGCTCTCAGAGAAAATGCTACAGGGCAATGTTGCAAATGGAAGATGTTAGAAATATAAACCATGACACAAACATAAAGAAACTAAAACACATGCATTCAGACATCCACACTCTCATTTCTCATCCCATCCCCACTCACCTGTCTCCCAACTCTGTTATTATGCAGCCTCATACGGGCATGGATGTCCTTGTAGGTTTCACGGGCATCCAAGAAGTCCCTTGAGAACTTCTCGCCGAATTCAACGTCGGGGCTGCAGCCACCCCACTCCCAGGAGTCCTGGGGGCCCGGCAGGTCAGCGGGGAAGTGCTCCATGACACCATGTACCATACCCTTCCCCCGGTGGATGGCCTCTAGTTGCAAACGGTGCAGTTTGATGCGGAAGGCCTCCTCGTCCCCACGCCGCTTCTCATCACAGCTGCACGCCTTCAGTTTGCCCATGGAGCAGGCGTTTGCCACTGCGTGCACCACGCCTGCTGCTGCGATGGCATACGCAAAGGCACTCTCCCTGAAACCTGTGGGGTGAAACAACAGTATAGTGGCCTAGTGTGGAAGTTGAAGTTTATAAAGAAGTGTTGCAATCAGGACACTGTGTTGGGGAAAGGAAAGAGATATTTTGTCCAAAAAACGTGTCATAACACATAGTTTCAGAGCTTAACCAAACATGTTTTCAGTTAAAATTGCAGTCATCTACAGGAAGATGGAATTTAGACTCTCTTAACTGACACTGTGCGTCACTGCGATGTCCAAATTGATGTAAGTATTGCACAAAAAACTGACATGCGGACTGTGTCAATACTGAGCGGTGTGACATGTTTCTTTTAAAATGCCGCTGGAGACATATTGACAAGTTTTAGAACATGGAGTTTATGTAAAACATCAACAAATTTTCAATAACCTGCAGGCAGAACATACCAGTGACTATGTGTCATGAAGCTGTCAGGTGGAATGAAAAGATTAACAGGTCGATGGAGAATGACATTTGATAACAATCCAAATTCAGATCACTATGACTAAGCTGCTGTTTACAAGTGTTTTTTTGTTGTTGTTGTTTTTTTTGAGTTGCGTTACATTTTCTATTTTTAACTGCAACAGCATCAGAAATAAAACTCCAACTATTTCATTCGCCTCATTAAAGTCCCGTTGTAAAACTGCTGGATACAACTTCAAGTTGTCAAGTGATTTTCCAAGCCCTGAAATTTAATTTAACAACAGCTAAATGAGCAAAGAAATCTTTTAAATTCTCTGTCAGCAACATGTCAAATTTGACTTTGCACGCTTTGTTTCACACAGTCAGTAACGCTGCAGCATACACGCTTCCTTTATTTTGATAAATATACACATAAGAGCTTATTCACCAATTATGCTGTATATACACACATGGCAAAACTCATAAAGCCTGGGGAAACATCTGGGACAATACCAATTAAGTGTTCCAAACACTTGCGTACTTGGTCTCTGCAGGCCAGCTGAACATGAACAGACCCCCGCCACTCCCATCAGTGGACCCACAGAGGACTCGCACACTAAACAGGGCTGTGTCTCCTTCTGTCTGTCCTGCTGCTTAATACAAGATATGTGGTTGTGCAACTCACTCCTGTCTGCTTACATGTAATGTCTATGTACGTGAGTAGAATGGTGCAAGGCCCTGAATTTGTACTGTTGGATGCATTTCTGGCTCTGTATGCCTGCCTCGATCAATCTTCCCCATGCTTTCCTCTACAAGTGTTTCCAATATCTTTCAAGAGATCTTTCATCCAGCCTGTAACCATTACCTTTGCTACTCTGGAGTGACTGGCACTTGCACACTGACTTACTTTTCTGATGGCCTGAGGGACATTTGACAGCTGATCCTTTTGTCTGTTTTTGTCATTTCATATCAAGCTATGAAAAATGAGGACCAAAACTATGTGTTACTGTACGTGCTTGAGTTTAGGTTAGAGAGGCTGGCTATGCCACACCACAGCTTTTGCCTTGTAATCACCTTCAACTGGCTCTGACGGACTACTGCGTATAGAGGAGGTGGTTAAATGACTGTGTGTATGTAATCTCTCCATACGACGTGTGACTGCTTTTGCCTTTACAGCTAAACACATCCCTTTCTCCTCAACATCCTAAGTTGCATGCGGCACATGTAATGACTCCACCACAACTGATCTGTAATTCAGCAGACTAATGTTACAGTGCTCTTCTCTTACACACACGCACTGGCAATATAAACACACATTCACCCTGACCGTGTTGATGTACTTCTGTGACAAATAAAGAAAAAAAAAAATCCACGTCCAATCGAGGAATCCGTGAATATTGAAGGATGAATTGCGACAGCAGTGCTTGATCGTGTACCCTCTATAGTGTTTGTTGTTAGATCTCAGCTTACTGCCTGTGAGCATGGTGCCCTCAGGTTCTATAAAAGCAGCCCCACTGGCAGTCACTTACTGGTGTAGAAAACAGTGAAGATTATAATGGAAACTTGTAAAGAAAACATGAAAAGAAACCACTTAGGAGTTTATAGCACATTGCTTGAAGGGGAAATTATTCAGGCTTCTTGTAGGAGTCAAATAAAAGGCTATTAACTGGAACTGCCCCTTTGAGCACTGTTTGATGTTACTTCCTTATTTTTATATTTAAGCAAACTTAATATTATTTTATTTTTGTGAGGTATGATGTAAAGGTTGAAATATTTGCTGTTATGCTGGACTTATTTGTATATTTGACACGTGACATATAAAAAGTGGGAGGCAGCACGTTTAGGAGTGAAGGTGAAGTTCATCCATAAAGCAAATGACAGCCTGTAGTTCTCTCATGCAACTGTACCGCACATTTACAAGTAATAGCAACACTACTGTCACTTTGTGAAAAAAGTGAGCAATGTCGGTACAGAGAGGGTGCCAACACAGGGTGTTCTGGCAGAACAGTGCAGGGTCGTCTGTCAAAAAAACACAGGCACCGCATTAACCTTAAACAGGCCTATAACAAGACCCCACCAAAGCAGACCCCTGCACTGCTTTACACAGGGGCTGTTTTTAGTCTGACTGTTAAAAAAAGCAGTGTGCAGACCAGATGCAGGTTTATTTTCAGTTAACAAGGAGGCTGATAGTCTTCATTACAACAAGCTGGCAGTATTACCCGCAGTGTCTCTAGCTGCACACAACCTGCTCTTTAAAGTGCAGTACTTAATTTGGCCACAATTGGAAAATAGCTGTACACACAGCATAGGCATAGCATCACTTTTTAGGTTGATCTGATGACCTTGTTAGCAAAATGTTGGTTAGTAACACATCCAGTTGTTAAGAAGCATTTACATGGAGTCGCCTTTCTGCCCACCACAATATACACTCTACTTTTGGCTCTTACTTTGGTCTCCACCAATTCCAGAGAGATATATCTGTCTCTTTAGCAGCTAAATGCTCCGCTAACAGAGCTTTGTTTTAGCTTCTGTAAACATGGGAGCAGTGAGACTGAACCAAAACAGTGACACTATTTAAACCAGAGAGCCGAGGGGAACTGCAGAGTTGCGTGATTATCATAGCCTGTATAAAAGAAGTAAGTAGGCGTAGCTAACATGATGTCATCCATTGGTTTGTGGACTCACATTTTGAAGCCTGGAGTTTGGCCTTATGGTCGTCGCCATCTTGTTTTGTTTTTTTTTTAGCCAGAAGTGACCATATTTGGACAAGAGGGAGGATTTGTGGGGGAGTGAGGGGTGGATCTGACTGAGAACTGTCAACGCTGCAGTGATAGTGACTTGTCGATCACAAGGTAGCCACACCCTAAAGCATACCCTGCTTTATCATCTATTTTACTCCACAAGGACACCATGCTGTATTGACAATGACTTGAAACTAGCAATTGAGACCATCAACTCATTTGGAAAATCTTTACTGAGGTAATAAATCAAGTGAGAAGTAGGGTCATTTGTCATAGAGTTCTATACAATTCTTGCAGCTAGTGGAGTCGCCCCCTGCTGACCCTTAGCAAGAATGCAGGTTTAAGGCACTTTGTTTCACTTTCATTTGTTTCACTTTATAACATAGCAATGTACAAGTATTCATGTCATCTCTTGTTATTAGAAAAAATATTTCTATTATAGCAGCTCTAATGTGCAACATCTTTTTGAGGGTAATTGCGAAATTAGTTTTGTACCAGCAAAAACACAAACTCTGAAATTGTTCTGACTATATATATAATTTGACTCACTAACGCACAATCTGCACCCCCTCCACCCTCACACCTGGACTCACACAAGGTGGGGGAAGTGAGAGGGATGGCACTTAAGCACATCCTTATACATAGAAAGCCTGTTTTAGCTCTTGCTCTGCTCTGAGCCGGGCTCTGCAACACAGGCCCCCGGAAGACTGGGAACAAATCAATCTAAGAAATAATTTACCGGCTGCGGCACGCCCGGCTGAACTGATGGCAGAGGAAGTGACAAAATGAATTAAAGATTCAAAGGAAACTGTCACTTTGTGTTACAGAAACCGACTAAACAGGTTTATGCTTTTGCCGCCGAGAGTTGGGAAAGTGCTGAGAGCAAATTCACAAGCACTTGCACTGGCAAGGGAAGTAAAAGCATTAGGAGCAGCCCAGCGAGGAAGGACACAGACACAGTGACAGAGAGAGAGAGAGGGAGGGAGAAAGACAGAAAGAGAGAAGGAGATTCTCCTAATTCTGTCTATCTATGTCTTGCCTGACGTCCTCTTTAGCCTAGTTTTTTGATGCAAGCTAAACGGGAGTGAACATGGGCCCATAAAAGTTATCAGAATCCATCAGCAGAGAGATACGTGGCAGAGCCAGAGAGGATCCCAGCAGCATCAGATGTAGTAAAATTAGACACCAAAACAAACACTGACGTGCAGAGCCCCTGATACGTAACTCCAAAACTTTGTAGAACATCAGAAAATTTGGGAAAGCTCTGCAAGAATATTTGAACAAGTGAGATTCCAATTCCGAAAAAGTATTTCATTTGTGTCTTGTTGTAATGGTTTCATGTCATATGTAAAAATTGCTTCATAGATAACCTTGTTATTATAGCATGTTAATTATAAAGCAAGAAATACCAATTGGTGTACATAAGCTTTGTGTGAGACATTCATTTATATTTCTGTGGGCAGTTACATTGACAACATGTGTTAATCTCCACAATTCCATCTAATCCATGTCTGAAAATCTGTCTCAGAGAAAGCGATGCCCTTTTCACAGTAGCTGCACGCAACAATGGCTGCAGAGGGGTTAACTTGTGTCATTTTTTTTAGCTTCTGTGGAGCTTCTGTGAACGTATCAACATGTAACAGATGAATCACCCGATTTAAAGAGCTTGTTTATGTCAGTGGTTTGGAGTTTCTGCACCCGAGGCAAACCAGGGATGCCAGACAACCAGCAACTGCCTCTACTAATAATGACAAACAGCCTTTCAATGAGTCAGTGAGGAGTGAAAGTTAAGACCAGAGGTGTGTAAGCATATACTGGAGTTAATAGGTTTTCTTTTTTTTTTCTATCATCCACAGAGGTGACAGGGTATGAAGTCCTCAGTGAGGGTTACCAAAAGTTTCAGGATTGTGGAGAACATAAATTATAGCAGCACCCCTCCGGGAAGATCTGACGCATTTAATAAGTTTTTTTTATGATGGGGAATTCCATCAACAATCAAGTGACAACGGGGAAAATGATACTTTAAAAAAGACTGTTTTTTTAGACTTTATTTTACACTTATAGCTCAAAACTTAAATTAACAGATAGGTAATGTCATACCGAAGCCAATGCTCTACAATGCAATATGTTATATGAAATGCAAGAAGCGTCATTAGAGCTGATGATGCACTTCATCCTAACATGCCACAGTCCTCTCAGCAGAAATTAATTTGCTCACCACATTTCCAATGCAACATTTACACAGAAATCTATTAATAATTTAGTTTTGAACACTATCTTCTTTCTCATTTGGTGAAATTGAAAGCCAACTCAACCCAAGCCTCAAACTGCCGACCACATTGCACGCTGTTCATCCATCCAGGTGCTCTGGCTATTAGGAAATTGATGCCTTTTCCAGTCAATAACCTGGGATGAGTCCATCACGAGGCTTCCCAACTCTAAAGATCCTCTTTCATCCTTTGTGGCAAACTTGCAAAGCTCCAAGCTCTACTAACCGTCAGAGAAAATTGATCTGCATGAGGTTTGGTAGTCTTGAGGTGACTAACTGCTTTTGAAGTTATGTGCTCTTTTGTACGGGCTATTGAGGAGATACAGAAAGGGTTCGTAAGTAGATACCGGTCTGCTAGTTACTAGAGATAACCTAACCACTTGGAGGACTTCATACCTGTGAGATAACATTCAAGGACTGTATCTATGAAGGAAAATTACCCCTAATCTTTTGACTGTGTTTAGAGAATAATATTACACCAGTGCTTGTTTAGGACGTGTATCTTTGTGGTGGCTAATCTTTCTAAGCCGATCCTTTCAAGGTATTCTATCAAAGTGTGTTTGAGGATGAAACCACAGCCTGTTTGAAGACCAAACTTTTGAACTGCATGCCTGTACTTCATTGTTTTTCCTCCTCAACAGGTACCCTCTGGTGACATCTTACCTCTGCAGCCTACACATTGTTGCCCTAAAGGTGTCTTGTATCTTTTCTCTAATGGGATTTTTGCATTTTGTAACATTTGAAATGTACAAAATTTTCTTTCCCTCAGTTGCACCTCAAATTCTTAATAGAAGAGATGCAAAATGGTTACAAGAAAAGCAGATGTGAATTCAAATGAAAGCATACAGGGAGGACGTATTTCTGTAGTACAGTGCTGTGACCATAAAACTGACCTCTTTTAAAGACTATGCTGTCGTAGGGTATTTTGTTCCTAGTCTCCAGGCTGGAGCAGTTCCAGCGGTGACCTCTGAACTGGTGCTGGCACTCGTGGATGGCAATCTGGATTCCCTGTATTGCTGAAGCCGTCACATCTGGGTTGCGCATGCACACCTCTAGCTGGCGCCGAGTCAAACCCGGCAGTGTGAGACACACCGTGTTGGCGTTCAGGATCGGGTCGATGTTGGGGAGCTTCAGGCCCAAGATTTCATTGGAGTCTACCCTGCATGGAGCACAAAGGTCAGGTTATTGACAAGACACATGTCCAACTCATACATCTTTTATGCTCACAAAAGCCTGCTGAGGACTTTGGAGGTTTCTGTTAATGTTCTTTGGGTTTCACAACAATGCTCAGTTCCTACATTGCCAAACAGACGCCCTGACTCGATGGTCCCCAGTGAAGCTGATGCCTGTACAACCTCAGTTATACACATACTGTGGGTCAATGGTTGTAAAACCATCTCCACATGTTAGCGGTTTGAAGGCAAAATGCACTCTCACATCTATTTTTTTATTTATTTTTTTTGTCCTTTTTTGGATTGATTTGCTTTGCGAGAGTTGTCACTAATATAAAAAGAAACTGCTGACTGTGATAGTGGGTACATACTGATCTAAATGCATGTGTCAAAACCTGCAACATGTCATTTAGTGTTAATTTATGCTTAATTCAGGTTTTGTCACCTTATCTTCTCCTAGGTGTTGACTTGACACTGCAAGGTAAGAGTTATGCAGTAAATCAGGTGAGTAGAGGTGGGGGATGAAGGAACAGCATCCACCTAGTTGGCATGAATCCAATAGTTCTAGTAACAGTTTCAGATACACAGCAGGGGGAAAAAAGCAACTCTCCCACCTCATGCTGTAAAATATCCTCAGGAAATCAGTTAGCATGTAAATCCAGTGACTTTTTAGCTGCAAGGTGTGTCTCTGTACTCAACTGTCTGCTGCTTCTGTTGCAGATCAATCATGTGAACAACAGTAATTCAGCCGACAGCGGTCAAAGCTCACTTCACAGAGAAACTGTAACAGCAATAACAAGGAAAACACAGGCTGCGCTGATGAAGGCTTGAGAGCTGAGCTTTTTCTATTTCATTATCATTACAAGCAAAACACCGGTTGTGTGTCGCAGCAGCGTTTGTGTGACTGAGACACACAAGACGGTAGCATGCATTGCTGTGGGCACACAAACACATCTGTATGCACACACGCTCAAGCACACCCCAACGTGCATATACAAATACCCAGGTGTAGGGAGGAGTGTGTAGTAACATACAAAGAGACACTTGCACGGCTGCATGCTATTTCTTTCCATGGTTTCATCAACACATGCAACCTCTGCTGCAAGTTTCTCTCCTGTGAGCCTCTCAGACTAAGAAGTTCACTCTGTCTGACTGAAAAAGCAACCACAAGCTTTGGATTGTTACAGTCTAAAAATGCAACTTGTCCTGACATCAAATGTTGTGGCTTTGCATATTGGTGCCCTACTTTCTAGGTGGCATTGCATGTTGAACTGTGTGCCCCTGTAATTCCAGTTTTGTGTTGCTACCTGTTGTGTTTCCTGCTTTGAGGGTAGACCTGTTTCAACAACTATATTTCCAAAGGCCAACTTTTTATTGATTGGCAACATTGTTTGGGAATGAGGAGTGCATGGGAAGCAGGCAGTTGGCAGCAGACCATAAACTTGTAAAAAGACTAATGTTTAAAAACTTTCTTTTCTTTATTCTGTGCTTTTGTTAGCTTCAATCACGTCAGCCAAATCTGTGAGTCATTTAACTTTTGCTTGCATGAATGAAAACTGACTTTTATGTTGTTAAGCAGATAATTATCTAATTACAGAAACTAATAATTCAGGTTTTGATGAAAATGTTTAAATATGCATAGCTGAGGAGCACAGTTTCATAGAATAAAATTAAAAACAGACATGCAATTTCAGTGTATTAAACCAGCACAGAGGCGAACTTTTTTTTAGTTTGAATTCATTCCTTATTAATCTCAACTCACCTTTTATCCAAGAGACAGATAACCACCAAGACGCATGTTATTCTGAGGACTGAGTGTTCCATTTTGTGCCTTGTAATTATGACAAAAAAAGAGAGAGAAAAGTTTTAAAAATAAAGATACAAGAGTTTAAAGTCCAGTATTCCGCCTTGAAGTTTAGAGAGGACCAAACAGAGGAGGGGGGGGGGGTCAGGTCAGGTCCGGCTAAACGCTGGCGCTGGACTTGACAGCTCCGACGACGTCCAGATGTGCCAGCCAGCGGCGGGATACTCATTCACAAAAAAAAAAAAAAAAAAAAAAAAAAGTTTCATCCACCTCTAAACTTACTGAATGAAGGAGGCTGCTACAAGTTTGAGGAAAAGTCAGTGTTGTCTTGCTCATACACATCCGTACACATCCCGGTATCTCCGCCGAGGTATCTGCATGGGTATAACATCCGAGAGAGACCGCTGGACCCAGATAGGCGCTCTAAATGAAGTCTGCTTGACTAGTGATGTTTCGGTGCGCTCCGATAGTCTTCTAAACTCCTGCTCTTAGCGCTTCGCCAGCCCACTTTTTTGCGTCACCCAGGGAGAAGAGGAGCGCCGAGGGAGGTCAAGTGCCTCGTTAGAGCAGGATAGAGATCCTTTTAGATAAGGAAACCAGAAACACTTAGCCTGCGCCCTCTGAGAGGGGGAGAACATTTATATTGACTGGAGGAGCGATACTGAGGATGAGGAGGTGGACTACAGAGAGTGGACTATTGCAAAAGTAAAGAATACTTTTAACTATTTGGTCAAAAAGATGTAGATGATTATGAGGAGGGAGAAGAAAGCATGAGGTTAGAATGATGAAGATGATTATTAGTTGCAAGAGGAAGCCCACACAAGGAAGACTGACTTTTCTTATTTTAAAAAAAAAGGTGATTTATCATGATAAGATGATGAAGATGAAAACAGATTAGGTTACCTTCGCTTTTTATCCTCAAATCAATGATTTTCAGCTACTGTGTGTGTTTGCATCCGAGTATATTGGCAGACTTGTTGTGTCTGGCAATGATAAAAAGAGCTAATAAAATAGGGGGATTTAATTATTTTTATTATACTTAAATCCATCATTTCACTCCTAACTTTAGTACTTAAATTCAAACTACCTCAAATATCTCCAACATGGCTTTTTTATGAGGGGTGGGTGGGAAGCAGGCAATTGGCAGCAGACCATTAACTTTTAAAAACTAATGTTTATTCTGTATTTTTGTTAGCTTTAATCGCTTCAGCCAGAACAGTGCTTTGAATTAAAGGGGCACTTTGTTTTTTAAATTTCGTGGCTCACTTTTGTAAGGAAAACCCAATTGCCAGAAAAAAATGTTTGCATTGAACGTTTCTGCAAACCACAGAAACATTATATTTGCACATTATTTTGTAGCAGATATGTTGAAACTTCACATTTCTCAATGACGCTGTGGTGAAAGTGTGGTTAGATTTTAGGCTCAAAAATCGCTTCGTTATGGTTAGGAAAAAAAAATGTTTTGGCTTAAAACAACCATTTTTGGTGGCTCAAATGCCGCTGAGAAATGTCATAATGTTTTGGTAAAAACACTCAGTTCAGTGCCATAAACGCTGATGGAAATACACAAAGGGTCGTCAAAAGACAACCAGTGTTGTTGTTTGTTGGTCTGAAACAGTGGTCAGCAGCCTGGCAGGCATCTCACCAAGGTGACATGCCATTCAACAAAGTAAGCCTATATATTACGTCACTTTAGAAAAGCTGATACATTATGATTCATATGAAACATACAAATATACAATGTGATTTTCTTCTGGTGTCTGGGCTCTGGGGGGCTCTAAAGAGACATTTTTAAAAGTAAGGTCAAGACTGAGCAGTAGAGTTAATCCCTAGTGTGGATCAAGCTCCAAATACTCTGGATTCATCTTCAATTTTCATTCAGGCTGTTCCCAAAGTAATGCACCCAAATTTGGGAACTCAAAGGGAACTTTGAGTCATTTAAAGGTATGTCCTCACCATGTTTCTTTTCCTAAACCAACAACAGTAGCTGTACTTGCCTAAACCTAACCTCCCTAACTTTACATTCATTACGTAACTGTATGCTAAGGACGTAACGTCATTCGTGGGGCGCTAATTCGTAGAATATCATACTAACTGTTTTTCATTGGATATCATATGAACCATTATATGAGAATACTTTGTTTCATTACACCCTTCCTTCCTGGTTACCCCTGTTTACATCACCAGGGTGGGTTATTTTCTCAGACTCTGAAAGCTTGTCCAGAGCTACAGACGGCTGTTTTTACATGCTGAGTCGTGCTAATAACCGCATGTAAACTGATTTTGTTGTAGTAAATCTGCAGAGTTGTCTTTTACAGTAATAAGAAGCATCTCTTTAAAAGCAATAATACGTGTTTTAGGGTTTCCAAAGTCTGAATTTGTCACTGTGAGGATTCTCTTTTTCTCTGTGAGTAGAAAAAGTAACATGAAAAAATGAGCGCTTGTTAAACTCGTCGGCTGAAGTTCTCATTGCTCTCTAACGTTGCCTGTGTGTCATGGCCTTTAATCTTTCAATTTAAATGACTATAAAGTATAACAAAAAGCTCCCTTGTTGATGAAGACCACATGATATCACTCATCTCAGTGCTTTATGAGTAGCCTAGAATAAAGATTCAGAAACCACAAATAAAAAGGTTTTCCCCCACCAGTGGAGGGAAGCAAGCATTCTGCCAGCATGGAGTCACCAGAGTAGTAAAACACTACACGGGTTTAGCATTCAGACGCAATTAAGTTGCCATACACAAATTTAGAAGATCAGGAAAACAATCCCACATCACATTTTCTCCCAGAAGGATTTATCACAACACCCTGATCTGGAAGATTTGGCAGAGACACCAACTTTGTGCTTAATTATTTCAAGGCATGTAAGGGTGGCAGGCTTGTTAGTAGACTTAGTGGTTTCTGAGACTTTGAGTTCAGTTCTACAGCAGGATGTGTTGCATGCTGTCATCCCGGTCTCTCTCTTGCTCTCATCATGACTGATGATAAAATGACTTTCTGAATCACAGTTCCTTATAAACATGACTCATACATTAACTTCCCTGTCTCCACTTGGTGAATCAAAAGCAGAAGGGAGCGCTATTTTGACGCCACTGTGACCAAGGGAGGCAGCTCCATAAACCAAATCATGAAAAGGTGTTAGATGTCCTTTTTTCTTGATTGCAAAAAAAAGTCTGGAATGTATGGAAGCCTGTTACTGCCAGAAATAGATGAAACATATAGTCATGATAAATATAAAAATTACCATAATAGGTCAAAATTTACATTCACAATATTGAAATTATAAGATAAAAAAAAATAACTATAAAATCAAAATTCTGAAAAAAGTTAAACTCTAACTTTGAAATAAGACATGACACATATGTGCTCTTAAACATGGATAGTTGAATCTGTAAGCAGTAAAGTCCACCTTTGCTCAGGTCAGTATGCTCACTGGTTTTGCTGGTCAGGCTGTTCAGTACTCTTTGTACGTTTCCAGCAAAAAGTAATGCACCAACTTCATACATATCCCACTTAACTATTAGCCAGTAATTTGTGCATAATCCACGTACTTTGGAAGGCTGTTATCACCTGACCAATGCTCTGATGGAAGTAAAGAGGGAAGCGGTCCTGAGTGGTCCACTTAGGAGGCAGGTTGGGGTAATGGATGGGTCACAACACACAGGACTTTCCCCAGGACTCTGGTGTTCAGAACCATGTGAAGTTTGAGGGAACTTTGAGTCATTTTAAGGTACGTCCTCACCATGTTTCTTTTCTCTAAAGCTAACCACAGTCACTTTACTTGCCTAAACCGAACCTCTGTAACTTACGGTAATGACGTAACTTGAAATTTAAGGACGTGTTGTCATTCGAGGGGCGCTAATTCCTAGGATAACGTACAAACAGTTGTATGTATTGTCACTTACACTCATTAAAAACGTGATTAGATGTGCCTGTACAATCTAATGCAATCCAGTCCGATTACATTATAAAAACATTGAGCTCATATAGTGACAGGGTTGCTCATATTCAGAGGTGTTCCTAATATTTGGATGTTTGTAAATTGGTAGGAAAAGTTTGTATAGTGGCAGTATAATATAGTCCAGTACAACACCACCTTCAACTTTGACCTCAGTAATAAATAGAGTTTAATGTATATGTTTCCAACAATGTCACCAAAAAGGTAACGATAGAAGTCATGGCAGAGCTGTTGTTTTGAATTATAATAGACTGTACAGGTGTACCTAATAAAGTGGCCACTGGATGTAGGCTCTCTGGTTCATATATTGTTTAAAGCAGGTTCACGTGCAGTAACAGTAGGTACCACTGTGGCCACAACTGACAACTGAAAGCTAATTCTAATTCTAAAATGTAGTGTTAGAAGAGTGCAAGAAGAGAAATAGCAATAAAGCTAGCAAGTTGACTGCTCTAGGGCAATATCTGCCAAACGTTTTCTAACGTTATCAAACATTAGCTACTGTAAACTACATGTAATTTTAACAAATTAAATTTTTAATTTACAAGAGAAAAAGTGACATAGTCTCGCTTTAATGAGACAATATGTCAAATACTGTGAGACTGTAGGCATTTGACATACTGTAAGCATTTTTATTTATTTATCTAAAGCAAGAGTTTTTTTTAAATCTAATTTTCATTCAACTTTTATCTTTTTTTGACTTTAAGGTAGTCAAAACTTTGATCAAAGCAAACATTTTGAGACTGTGAAAAAGTCAGAATTATAAAACAGCAAGTCAAAATGACTTACCATGAGTACTTTTTGAAATTTTGATCAATAATAACTTTTTATCTTTTTTTTTAATTTCACTGCAGATATGAGCTTCCACTGAGGATGCTTTGATGTGATCCACAAGTCAAAGTTACAGATGTCAAGTTAGTGCTCAGATTAGATGTCACTGACCTCAAATTATCAACCGACGATTGAGTCAATGTGTCTTAAGCAAATATCAGTAGGATCTATAAGCCCGAATCTGTTTTTAATTTGAGCATTACTACTCTCAAAATGTGTTGGGGATGACGACTTTGGGGCCTCATTTTTTTTTACTTGAATGACAAGTGTAGATCCCAGCAGGGAACAGCACTGTTTTTACGCACGGGTTACATATTCATGCTGTGGACTTATTACACATTATTCATAATGAAAAGGATATTGTGCACGCACACACACGCACATGCAGACACATAATACACACAACTTCCACATCTGGACTGGAGTCCTCTGCCA